AACGTTTTCCAGCGAGGAGAGATCGAGCTTTCTTATAGACACTTGTCCGTCGGGGTGCTGGGCTACAAGTCGACGAAGTTTTAGCGTGTTTGCATCTTTCTCTGAATTGTCTCGGACGGTAAGAACCAGGTTGAAGGATGGGTATGCTTCCAACAGGTACTTGACTGATGGTAAAGCTAGCGAACCGTTCGCGCCGGTGATTAGGACTGTGCCTGCCATGATGCGCGTAGAAACAAGCGGATGAGAGGAGTGTTCTGGATGCGAAAGAGGCTTTGCAAGAGGGCGCGTCGAAGGAGTCTTCGTTGTTCTTATCTACCCCTTGGGCGCGGTTGCTGACAGGCGAATACGCCCCGTCGTATACCTCGATGCCGGCCTACCGTCTCGGAGCCATCAGTATATACGTAGTCGTCCCGGCATGGGATCTCTCTCCCAAATCCAGCAGGCTTAAATGTTCGTGACTGTGTACGTGCAAACAGTCATGGTATCATGTACACTACGAGTGCGGTTCTCTCAACCCTCACAATCGGTGGTGGTGTGGCCCAGGGCATGTGCGTTCGCTAGTCGCGCCGCCCCTCAACGGCACCTTTGTAACTCCATGGCGCGCATCCTTCCACTTTATGCATGGGCCACGGGCTAGGCAACACCTCTGGTCGCGGAGAGTCACCACATGCAAGAGGAGAAATTGAACTGCTCCGCAGACTACACCAGGATATCGCAAGCACACTAGAAAAGTCGGTGGTAAGGTAGGCTCCTCGGTGCACATTTTCCCCCTAGGTTGACGTGGATGTGTCGCATTGCGGCCGACCCCCGAGCACGAAGGATCAAAATGTCTATTTGGCGACAGCAACCGGCTCCACTTTGCTACTCGTTCCCTTTTGGATACGACCCCGCATATCGTACGATCTGAGCAGTGCAACCCAGGGTCTTTCTCCCGCAACCAAGTGTAGCCGGTCGCATAAGTCGGTCATTCAGTATGTATACTCACTGATGACACAGCAAGCTATGTAGAAACTGTATTCGTGATAATTTCTACGGATTATTGGAGTGATTTCTGGCCTGCGGAGCAAGGCTAGAGGAAGCGTAAAGGAATCAAGCGGATTATCCAGGTTCCCTCTATCCCGAGAGATGACACACGCACGATTGAGACTATAAGAATGCGTTCACGTTCTACGGCTCCACAAGTTTAGGCTAGTCATGAGCCAACTCTCACCAACTAAGTTACAGTGATGCTGCTACTTCCACTTGGCAGCAGCGTCCCGTTCGCAAATCCCTCCGTACAAAGAATCATATAGTCGTGACCGCCCAACCTCATCCCAGCCTTGTTCCACGCGTCAAAATGCTTCTGCGTAGTGATTGTACCGCCAACCCTTTTCTCTGTTCTCACCGACCAGAACTGTGTAAAGGTACGAGTCCCCTCAATAGACGGTTTGTTTACGCGCTGGCTAGTGTACAGATCGTAGGTGCCTTCTTCAAAAGTGAAGTTGCCTTTGCGCGTCCAAGGCTCACCTGGGGCGAGGACGTCGTACGACTCGATGATGTAGTATTCGATGAGAGGGTTGCGCGTCCAGCCATAGAGGGCGAGGTAACCAGGACCCTTGGCGTCGTATGTACCCGAGTATTTGACTGTCCTAGTGCGATCCATTAGTACAGCTCTCGAAATCGTCTTGGACCCGTTGCTGCTCTTACCTCGAACCCCCAGGCTTGAAACCTGTGCCAGCAACGAAGCCACCACCAGACTGTCCTGACCAGTTGCACGTGTACTTTCCGCCACCTTGTTGGTTGCAACGGAACGAGCCACCTCCTTCGGACCAAAAGGAGTAGTAGCCACCTTGACGGGCTTCGAGCTGCTTCCCAACTGTGTCATGATTGATGAATGAGGCAATACCGCTCGGTGCAGTGAGAGCGAGACGCAGACTGCCTAGCACGGCGGCGGCAAAGACCGCGAAAGAGACCATGATGCTGGAGCTGATGAGTAGATAGGAGAAAGTATCTGACCACCAGGCCCGGCGGTCTGTATCTATAATATACCTACCTTGCATGTAGGGGCCCAGCATGGAAGTCTTGGTATCAAGTGCGCGTGATTCTTCGCGCCTGTTTCTTGTTAATCAGCTAGTTGCGAGATCGCCTGGGGCTCACTGACAGCAGCGTATGCCAAGGACAGACCCGCCTCTTCCAGCAAGAAACATACTCTGCCAAGACTGGGGTGCGTCTTCGTCAATATGTCCGATACTGCTGTGCCGGCTGTTCACTACCGAGCCAGGGCTGGTGCTTTGGCCCTCAGCAGCCGTAACCACCAGACGTCGATCTGCATTGATTTGGACTTTTCATCTGCCGGTAGCATTTGATACGACGATGCACAGATGGTCGAAATGACAGTCACCTGTCACCAATTGCGGGCGATGATCGTCGAGCGGACACGTTGTTAATCAGGGAAAAGAGCATGTGGGGTATGGTATGCGATGAGGATGTTTCCACAGAACTTTGGCCGGACGCTTCGATACCGTACCGACTTCGTTACGGTTCAGGACATAGCTGATTATGGAGCGGGCAGTCTGATTACAGTGTCGGAGCGATGGGAAAAGGCGCGATGCGGAAACAGGAGACGCGAGCAAGCTTGTTCAAATCGAGTTTAGCGTATTGTCTTAGCTGATCGCCAGGGCACCCGTGAACCTGCTGCAATCTATGAACACGAACCAGACACGCCGTGCCTGCGACATCCCCGCTCTAAGCCTGGCCGCCACATACGCAAAAGACCATACCATAATCAGTAGGTACCGAGCTAGACCTCCATCTCGTACCCCGGCAGATGATCGAGCCACCCATCCACCTCTTCGTCGACGGAGCTATCAACCGCGCAAGCGTTCATCTCCTCCACAGTCTGAGTCTTCAGCACACCCTGAATACCCGGACTTCCACAATTATGGAACATGCAACTATCGTTCATTACTCGCTGCAAGCTGTCCCCCTTCCACCCAAACACGTAGTCAGCATGAGTACCGTAGCCCTTGCTATCGGAATAACTCCACACAAACGGCTGCGAACCATCGGTTGGCCACATGTCGGCGAAGGCAGTTGTATTCCACATTGTTTCGTATGCTAGTTGAGGCATCTTGATGGGATGCGATGCAGGGCACGGGTCCGCCGGGCGGAAGCCGCCTCGTGTCGTCGAGAACATGTGGGATTGATCTAAAGATTGGCGTACGAAGTCAGTTTTTATCTCACAGACAGTTCGCACAGGGAGATTACTGACGGTCGGGAGAGTCAAGGTCGACTCCGTTCCAGCAAGAGGGAAAATGGCTACACATGAAAGACGCAATTAGTAGGTTTCGTGGAGAAAGGAACGAGTTTCTCTTGGGAAGATACGCGTTGCCCGCAAGTGCGTAGCACCTGTTTGCAAGAGTATGCTAACATCGCAGGGAGACTTACTGCCATGCTTTCAGTACCCTGATCATAATGTCTGCTAAGGATCATTGCTTACCTGGATCGCCATGATACCTGCAGGGCAGTGCTCTTTCGGGAAGTCAGGAGTCTCATAACCTCTAGTGAGGATGGTTTGCAAGCACGTGTATGCCAGGCCCTTCTTTGTGCCGTTGAGTGTGTTTGTTGACGGGTTACCAACGGTCATGCGGAAGCCCTTGACCCAATTAATCGCTCGTTTCATCGACGGCCGAGATAGCATCACTCACCGGCGGAAAAGCTTTCACGGGATTGTCGAGGTCTGAGCTTTCGAAGTCTTTCTGGGTGTAGTATACCGTCATACCTCCCTTGATGTGGTCCGCATCTTGACCATCGAATCCTGTTAAGGTTTAGCCTTTCAATGTGCTCCAGTGTAGGCAATGTCGTCGGAATACCTAGCTGAGCGTTTGGATAGATTGGAACGCGTTTGTATGAGCCGTTTTGGTGTTTGAAGTACATCGCCGCGGTCCAGTAGTTGGAGAAGTCTACATTCAATGTCAGCGATTGTAAAGAAACTGGAGTGAGGAACGCATGACGTACCTTCAGTGTATGCGCATGTTGTGCAGCTGCCCTGTTCCCCAATATCACCGGCCATCGTAGCGTTGAAAGCATTACCGCCTGCGGAAACGTCAATGAGAGAACCAGAGGCTGTATCGTAAGTCCAGCCTACCGACGATCTGGTGTACCTTTGCAGTTGTGTTAGTATATGGTCACCACTACGATCATAACACTAACATGAGACGAGGGTACACGACCAGGCTCGACTAACGGGTCCAGGCGCTGGATAGAAACACTGCTGCAACCAAAGCGGATCGCAGCTTGCACCGCGACAACTTGGAAAAGGAGCAAATGTAAATTCATGTTGTTGTAGATATCTGTGTCTGATCTGGTAATTATAATGTCTCAGTGTTGATGTACTGCGATGGGAATGGTTCGGAGTGGGTTTTGGAGGAGTATGTCCCACCGAGACAGATACATGCCGCTCTAGAAAATCCGTTGAGAAGTTCTCGCATCGATGTATCCGATTCGCAGATGAAAATGGTTCCAGCGCGCGACTGCCGGTGGGCAGCGCCAAGTCGTTGATGTTGCTCTTTATATGCGCCGTCCTGTCGGGAAGGTGAATGTGGGGCATATTGATGGGATGATGCGACTGACTCTTTATCCCCAATATGTTGCCCAGACTGTTGGATTTATAGCAATCCATGTAAGGACAGTTGTTCAATCATCCGAAACGGTGAAAGGGAATCGGAACGGGAGTGACAACCGAATGGAGAGGTGACGTCAATGTGAACAGTATCTTGCCCGATAGCACCGGCAGTCTAATGCATGCTCGGAGCGATGCGCAGATCTCAAAATCTCAGTTAGTCAAGGGCTGTCGGGCGTTGAAGAATATATGGGCTAGGAAAGAGTTTCAAGAGCAAAGGGAGGTATTTCGTAGGTATTGTGACAACACACGTGTTGATTTGTGACACTCTTTTATCGTGATGTATTCGGCCTGCGCTTTCAGAACTACAAGTTTACATGATTGACATAGTTCGGAGCCTTCAGTTGTTCAGCTCTCGAGCCAGAGCGGCAATGCGCATTTGCTCTTTATGCTGCCGCCTGAGGTACTTTTGTTTCCTCAGGGCTACGATGCCTTGAATCCATCGCTTCGTCCTCTCACTGGGCGCACGGTTGACCCCTTGATTCCGCACCTCCTCCACTTCCAGCTCACAGTTGCCTGCGAGTAGATCTTTCTCTTTGACAGGTTCAGAGCTACCTCCGAGTGTCTTCCCCTCCTCCACTATCTGAGAGTTACCTCCCAGAATCGGCTTCTTCGGTGCGGGCTGAGAGTTACCTCCCAGGACCGGCTTCTCTTTCTCCTTCTCCTGCACGAGCTGGGGGTTGCCTCCGTCGGCCGGACCAAGCAAGTCTCCCACCTGCTGCGCTGTTCCTTCACCGAGGTTGGCAAAGGGTGCATAGCCAGGGAAGTACGCGGCGCACTTCCTCATGTGGGCCTCCATGTTCTGGACCACGATTTCCTGCCTGGCAATACACGCCAGCTCCTTTTCATCGAGGAGGTCATAACAAGCATAGGCTTCAGCCAGTTGTTCCATGTTGAACTTTCGTCTTCGGTAATTCTCATTAAAGTCTATGAAGAGTTAGCAGAGCTACTGTAAGGTGGTCATGGATTACTTACCCTCTATGGTCTCAGAGTGAGGCATGAGGGCCATCCTCATCGCATCCCGGCGGCTGCGTTCGCCCGACATCATAGTGGACGCGAGTGTCAATAGCAGAGCGGAAAGTGTCTTTGATGGGTGAGTGCTCTGAGCGAGAGAGTCAATGTTGCTGTTGATGTTGTTGACAAACGCTCGAGTTAAGTGGGTCTCGACTAGCGCACAATGCGAAGGGAAGGAGCCCTGGAGCCTGGCGAGATGAGAAGAACGCCATATATTTGATGAAATAGTTGATGGCTTCGATGTTTCGTGTAAGCTATGTGTGTTGAATGAAGGGGATGGGCGCGTTGCTACGAGGCTTTCGGTCTAGTCAGGAAAGAACTTGCGCGCGAGAATCATATTGAAGAGGATATCAGGAAGGAGAATTGAGAACCAGCGAAATTACTGATGGAAAAATCTTATCGTGGGGAGTGGACGAGGGAGCGTGAGTTAAGTTGGAACATAAGCGAAAAGGGAGATGTTGTTGGGTTGCTGGAATGGTCGACAGCCAGCGAGAAGTCCTCTCGAACCTGCAATGATGGTCTACTTTAGAAAAACTGCGTAGATATACGTGCGATAGCGCATGACAGAGTCCAAAACCCTAACTGCATTTAAAACTGTTCGGTATCTGCCAGAATGCAAGATGTTGCAAACCGATTGTCAAAGTCGTTGAGATTCGATCACGAAGCGATCTCAGAACCAAGCCACAGCTTCCTCGTGGCCACGCTTTTCCCTCCAGTCCTTCAGTTTGTGATTGACCACCCAAGCCGGTAGTGGCGTTCTCCAATCATCCACATCATACGGCTCGGCCCACAGCCGTCCATCAACATCTTCAGGCTTCCAAAGATGAGACGTGTAGTCTACTCCAGCCTTGCTGAACAAGTAGCAGCCATATTTTAGACACCTGTGATGACGTCGCTGACGTCGCTGACTCCGATGCTCATCTTCGGAAATCGGTTCCTGCTCGAGACGGTACCCTTCGACCCGCTGTACGAGCTGCAACGTGTCTAGACAGGGCGGTGGCACGAGCATATATGGAGACATATCAAACCGTGCAAAGGTGTTGTTGTGATGCTGAAGTAGGGTTTGGGAGCGGTATTGATAGTCGATTCGGATGGTTGCTAGAAATGGAGCTTTCTGTGCCAGCACAGAGACAAAACGCCGCGTAGTGTTCCACGTCCACTCATTCAGGTCTTCATGGCTGTTGGGGACGAGAATCGCGACGTGCCTGATGTAATGGCTGAAAAGTGTGTCTAAAGGTAGCGTGCGACGCTTGCGACTGGGTGGTGATTGATGCGGTGTATCTACAGGACAGGGTCGTAGGCGGTCCCGATCGCAGATTGTGACGAAGACTCCTTGTTTCTCAGTGATTTCAAGAGACTCTTCTCGCAGACGAGGATGAGCATGAAGTAGCGCGAGAGTCGGTGCGTTGTGGACGCGGTACAGGAGACAGAATGTAGGGAAAAGACTGGTTTCACACCAGTCAGATTCTCCTTCAGCTTGCAGGTACGAATATATCAAATCGCGCAATTCTCGAGGAAGAGTAAGGAGGGTGGAGGGTTGGGGTGCAGAGTCAGGCATGGTGATGATGGAGTACAAGTGGTGACAGCTGCGCTCGGTGGTGTCGAAGTTGCTTCAACGTGCAGGCCTAGTATGATGCTATCGGAGCTTACTGAACCTTGCACGTACCTTGGAAGTACCTAGGTAGTGGCATCGTGTGCGACTCGCAACGCAGGATCGTTGGCACTGTTGAGCCGTTGGGCCGCTCGGACCGTCAAGCTCGGTATACCTCGGCAGGCCAAGACGGCAATGGCGGCAACGATTTGAACTCCTTGGCGCAAGTTCCCTATTGCCTATGTAGAAAGAAAAAAGCTCGGCAGTACTGTTGATACATGGGGTAAACGGCATTTAAGAATACTCCACCCGGACACCGTCGGCAGTCGCGCGGACACAAGACCGACTGCTGCCTGGAAAAGGCGCAATATAGAAGAAACTCGCGCTCCAGTGTTCCTAGTCTCCCCAACATGGCGAGCGACGAGCCATCTCTTTACCCTTCAGTGGCACTCGGTCGATCACGCATCCCAGGGCCAGCAATCCCAATCATCCTAGTTGGCTCCCCTTTCTTCGTGCGACGACAAACTTCACGACAAAAGAAAGACCTTCAAAATTTACTGGTGGTCATACACCTTTTGCTATACATCTACAACCTCACGGAAATTTTTGGCAAGAAAGAGAAAGAGAAAGAGGGTGAAGGTGACGACACATTGCCATTACTGGAACACCTCGTTCTGGCCTTCGGAGAACCTGCCTTACACGAGGGACAGACATCTGTTTGGCCATACATATCGGTTGCCGTGGGATGGATCTTGTCTCGAGCGCTTGCTCACCCTCAGAGGGTGTGGATCTCTATCGTGCTATCTCTTCCCAGTGCTCTGAGGATGAGCAAGCAAGTCAATGTTGGAGTTAACTTGAGTGCACTTTCACTGCTCACCAGAATGACTTTCGTGGTATCGGGCTCTGAACATGGGCTCTCAATGGCGAATGTTGCTGGTGTTGCCCTCCCTGTGGCGCTGGCAAGACTTTGCTATCCGCTGTTCCTCAGGAAGCTTTGCCGAGCACTTCAAGTCCGGCCTCGACGCGTGCTAGAAGATAGCATTGGAGAACAATATTTGAAGTGCATCCAGGCGCCATTCGCAGTATTCACTGTCGCTGGTGCGGGGTGGATAATAAGCAGCTTCGTCTTCTCCTGTCTCCCATGGCGAAGGCTGTTCAAGGAGGAGGCGTCCAGGGCTCCATCGTGGACTGTGCTCTCGTTTGCTGGAGGGGTTGTGTTCCTTCCTCTTTTCTCTTTTGTAAAGTTCATGAGGGTTCGAATTATAGGGAGGGAACCTGCAGCTGACTTGGGCGCCTTTGTGCAGTATCAGTTGGGAGACTGCGTGGCAGCGACGTGGTGGGTGAGCGTTGCGTACATCTTGCTGTGGCTGGGGTCGGAAGCGCTCTCATGGTGCGGCAAAATGTAATCCTATGGGCCTTGGGAGTGGTGGCATCGTGTGCGACTCGTAACGCAGGATCGAGTGGTGTTCGTGCGACGATGGAAATAGCAACTGAACGCTTCATTACATAGATCCATGGATGGGTATAAAGCTAAATCCGATGCGCAGCTTTACATGCTAGCATCACGCTGTCCTTGCGACTCTAATCGCGCCTGCGACTCCCACTCCTACTATGTGTCCTACTCCGTGACCGGCTCCGCTCGCCTGGGCTGCGACTCCTCTCGCGATCACGACTATCGTAGCTTCGACTTCGACTTCTGCTGCGGCTGCGACTACGACTGCGACTGTCGTAGCTCCGACTCCTGCTCCTGCTGTCATAGCTCCTGCTTCTGTAGCTCCGTGTACTTCCATCACTCCTTCTGTCTAGTTCCTCATCCAGCTCATCGATTTCGTCACCCAACGGACTCTCCCGCGGTTCTAGCAGATCCAGGTCCTCCAAGTTCGCCCGCGACGGCAACTTCCACAGACTCGTCGCGCACATGCGGTCTTTTGTGAGGAGGTCATCGATGAACTGATCGACGTAGGTGAGGGTAAAGGCATCTTTGAGGCGTCGTTTTATCTTGCGGTAATCGGTGAGGAGGGGTTCGAGGGTTTTGTAGATTTCGACGGGCTCCCAGGCCAGGCGAATGTAGAAGGCAGCGAGGCAGCGCAGGTATTTGAAGTCGCCGAGCTTGCCTGCAGCGTTTAGATCGAGCGCCTTCTTGGTTGGGTCTTCGTCCTCGGATGTGTGGCCGTTTTCCTCCTTCTTGGCCTCGCCGTCCTGTGCTCCATCTTCCTCGTCGTCGCGAAAGTTGAGGTATTCAAGGATAATCTCCTTGTCCGGAACTAGCTGCAGCATCTTGAACGCTAGACACAAGAATGGTGTAGGTTTGCCCGTAATGCCAGTCGTGCCACCGATGAACTTGAGGTCGGCCGCGCGGTCGCACAAGGTCGCAGCGTTCAGACCGAAACATTGCTCTTTCCAGTAGTAGGACTCGGTGATGCGCTCGCGGACACCCTTTTCGAAGAGCAGCGCCGGGTTCTGCCCTCTGATGAGGGCTCCGCGATAGCCTCGGTCGTCGAGGAGCGCGCTGGCGTCTGCGCGGTCGAACTGCGGTTTTGACATGTGGGGATGCCGGACAGTCGTTTCGTCGCTAGTTTGAGGTCGAATGGCCCTTGGATATCTTCGGAAATGCGCGTGCAGTGTTGTGCGGTTTGGTGGTTTGGTAGTTCGATGGTGCTGCGGAGGAAGCTCGCGTTGATGGTTGCGATAATTTGAGCCGGGGTGCTGCCAGCAATCGATAGTTGCCTGCTCAACACCAGCGATCAACATGCAGCCCTACGGAATCTAGATCCACGGGGCACGTCACACCCGCCCACTGCATGCGCTCTCCTGCACGAACTGCTCTTACTATTCTACATGCACACTTTTGAACTATTATAGCATTCTTATACCCTTCGCATCCAGCGTTTACTTGTAGCTATGGGGAGACTTCTCCTTACTTCGAGCCAGGTTTCTGTCATCCTGTCGGCAGCCATTGGTACGCATGGCCCACGACGGGCACGCACTCGCATTCGCTGACAGCCGCCGGTAGTTCTTCTCTTCACACTCGCCCTCTTCCTTTCCGGCTGGGTATTACAGCAACGATACGTGCATTCTCTACAAGCCGCCATAAAGCCCCGATTGCCCAAGCCTCTGCCCCCGCCCAAGCCGATAGAACCTCCGACATTGGACGTAAAATGGGCAAGACCAATGGGCGGCCGTCCGGAGGTGGACGAGACATATGCGCAGTATATTGCCGGGCAGACGATGGATTGGAGCCGCCTGGGCTATGTGCAGGTGGTGAGAGAGCATGTGGAACTTTGCAGTGCCGTGATGCTGCTGTCTGATCTACACAAGATGAAGAGCCCGGCCAAAAGGATACTGATGTTTCCCAAACTGTGGCTGGTGGAGTCTGAAGACGACAAATACGGCCCGCAAATGTCGACTACACGGCGACTGCTGCGAACAGCGGCGAGGCG